CATGCATACACACAAGCACACGCACACACACACGGACATGCACAATACACACACACACACGCACTCGCACACACACACACGCACAGATGTTTGTATGTTCACACACCATGCATATTTTTACCAGCATGTAAATATACGGATACACTTACATACATAACAACACATGAAACAGAAGCATGCATGTGTAACAGACATACACTGAAACTCGGTCGTCGTGCAGCGTTTTTCATCCACAAACTATTTCTTTTCCCCTGAAGTCGCAAGATGAAAAGAGGTCTTCTGGTTGCACCCAATGAAAACGGCCGAGCGTCCGGAGAGTTCTATTGGGACGATGGTGATAGTCTTGGTAAGTAAGAGAAGAGGGAAGGTAAAGGTAAGGGTGAAAGGGTGAAAGGGTGAAAGGGTGAGGATGAGGACGAGGATGAGGGTTAGGCTGAGGGTGAGGGTGGAGGCAAAGGAGAGGTGAGGGTGAGAGTGAGAGTGAGGGTGGGAATAGGGGTGAGATTAGCATGAGGGCGAGGGTAGGAGTGAGAGTGAGGATGAGGGTGGAGGTAAAGGGGAAGGTGAGGGTGAGGGTGAGAATGAGGGTTTGAATAAGGGTGAGATTAGCATGAGGGTGAGAGGGAGAATGAGGGTAGAGGTAAAGGGGAAGGAGAGGGGAAACATGAGGATGAAGCTGAGAGTGATTGGAAGGGTGAGTGTGAGAGTGAAGGTGGGGGAAAAGGAAAAGATGCAAGAGAAAGGTGAGAATGAGAGAAATCGTAAGAATGGGCGTGAGGCAGAGTGGGAATTGATGTTTATTATGAAAAATAATGTTAACCCGAAGCCGCTGGGGATGGGATGTACAGACATGTCATGCCCACTGTGAATTAAATTTATTAATTTGCCAGTTAGCCAATTACAAGTTCTAACTGTGTCACCTGTTTAGCCTTTTCCTTGGATTTTTTATAATATCTTCTCGTATCTAATGTTAATGTTAATAATATCAGTAACACTATGATAATTATAGTCTATGATAAAAATTAAAGCATCGATGATGAAAGTTTTACTAGAAAAAACATTTTACCTGCAAACTCAAGGAAAGATGAAATCAGGGGACATCACAAGGTCTGCTAATTGAGTCCTTTGTGGCTAAGCACTTGCAGTTCCATCAGTGTGCAGAGATATTTCGCAAAATTTTCCCAGAGGCTCTGGGTTAATGGATGACATATTCAAAATATATTAAATTCTGATTGCTGTCTAGACCTGATAAGAACTATACAGACCATGAGTTTCCTGAAAAAGAGACTATATTAACCCATTGCCGCCGGGGATGGCATGTACGTACATGCCATGCCCACTGTGAGTCGATTTGTTCAATTGTTTTTACACATAGATGGCTATACTTGTACTAAGTATCCAATGAGCCAATTACGAGTACTGCCTGTCTCGCCTGTTCACCCTTTTCATCGATTTACGAAAATATTTAACATTATCCTAATTTGCTGTTAAAAATAACACCATCTATATTTATAGCACTAGTAAAAATACATTTTTTCCCGCCAATTCAAGGAAAGGTGAAATCAGGACTAGCAGAGCCATCTATGGACAGAGATATTTCACAAAAATATAAAAAATGAGTACTGCATTTCCCCCATTTTTTGTTAATTTTCCCCGGCAGCAATGGGTTTAGAAGCATATAGAAATGTGGGAGCAGTTACACAGATAGGTAAGATGTGTTTAGGAGCAGTTGCTGATTCCAGGGTCAAATGTAGAATTAGAGTTAATGTTGAAGTAGTACTTTGTTTTAGCTTGAGAGGGTAAATTTTTATGTTTGAAAATGACGGAAGAATAGCAGTTAGTACTGGTGTAATTTTAGTTGGTACTATAAGTTAGGAAAAAAGAAGCAGTTGAAAATATTACTATTATATTAACAATAGATACAGTTATGTTTTATGATGTATTTTTTTCCTCTTTTTTTAATGACTAGTATTATTACATTCTAAATTGCCTGTAAGTTGTATAGCCTCTTTACCCAAGTCTTTTTGGGTATCAGTCTCATCAGTGTAACTTATTAATTCATTTTGTTTCCTTCATAGATACTGTTAAGCACAAGGAGTACACGTACATACAGTTTATATCCGGTCCTGGTATCCTCAATGTAAATGTCAATCGCACCACCGCTGGTTATACAGAACCCATCTCATTAGGTAAGATATACTGGCTTGGGGTTTCATTATTATAGTACTTAAATCTTTGTGATTGTGGTAAATGTTCTCTTAGTGTGAAGTATTTCATAATGCCTCAGAATATTTACAGACTAATTTTTATTTCAAGAATAAACTTTTTCTCTAAATTGTTGCACTGATTTTGAATATTAGTGGATTCAAGAATATGTTTTTGAATTTGATCTAATTAGGCCATTATTTTTTCCTCATTATCCATGTAGAAAATGTTCTTGATATGCAGTATTTCGATAAATGATGCACTTATTAATTTTTTTACTTTTTTCTTTTCTTACTAGGTTACATATACATTCTGGGTCTGAGTGACAGTGTATCCGAGGTGACGGTGGATGGTGCCAAGGCGTCGTTTGAGTATGACCCGGAGAATCAAGTAAGTCGTCATTAATTCTGAATTTTGAGATATAAAAAGCTTTTATTAGTGTAACTACTTTGATAGCTGAGAGAAACAACAATAAAAGGAAAGAAAAAAAATGACAGGATCAGTTTGTTAGCTTCATTTATTGATACATTAGTGAATTTATATCTATGGATGGCAGGCTATTTAGAATGATTTTTTTTTTTTTTTATAACATTAGTGCTTGTTAGTGGAAAACTCCGTTCACAGATGTTTTAATTAATGGTGAATGTAAATCTGTCCTGTTTCAGTTTCTGACCGTAGATGGATTCTCGCAGAGCCTATTGAAGAGCTTTATCGTGAGATGGAAGTAAAAATAACACAAAGAATTGGGCTTCCTGTGTAAGTCAGCCGTGCCATGAGTGATGCAGTATGTAATGTAGGTTCATCTTGAAGCAGATTAAGATATATATATATATTTTGTTTTTAAAGTAAGAGGTACTGTGAAGAGATCATTGTCTTGCCCCATTGATTGTACCGGTATGTGTGATAGTTTTATGAATGGGTGAACTATTAATGTAAAGGAAAAAGTCAGATGAAATGACACGAAAAAAGAAAAATGAAATGTGACCAAATATTATTATTATTCTTTTTTAATGGTAGGCCATATAGGATTAAAATTAGCAGGCGAACTGTTGTTAGTAAAGTGCCCTCACAGCAAACATTATCAATTCTTTTGAGGTTTATTACCAAAGTTTAGGGTATTGTTATTGTACTCTTGATGTAAATGAGTTGTGAAATGTGCAATTTTTTTTTTCTAAACAGGAGATATAATGTGTGACCTGAATGGTAGGGAATGTTCCAAGAAGGTACCATGTGTATTCGCACAAATACTATGACACCAGCACACAAAAATGACAATCCTATGAATCATGTTGCAATAAGATAAGATTGAGAGTGAGAAAAGTTGTTTACTTAATAATCCACATTATTAGCTTAAGAAAGTTTTGCTTCCATTGCTTACAGGGGCTAACATTTAAGGTGCATGCCAGTAACAGTATATAGATACATATATATAATTAAAGACCTAGCTTGCAAAATGTGGTATTAGGGTTATAGGTATGCCAGCTTCCAAGACTTTTGAGAGGTTTATCTTAGATAAGCTTATATGTGTATACTAGGTGATATAATAAATCAAGTCAAGTCTTTTTGCCCTCTAGTTCTCGTGTTATATAGAACACATATTTTTTTCCCATGTTAGTTCTCATGAGAGTCTGATTTGTGAGTAAAATTGTGCAAAGTTTAGCAATCTTGCATATGAGTTTTTTTTCTTTGTATTTGCGATTTTTGGTTGGTTCATAATTAGTTGCTTGAAATACTCTTTTATGACCGTTAATGTCAGTAAGTTTGATTTCATAATTCTTTCATAATAGTTCATAATAAGAATGCTCTAAATATTTTGCTCATACTTAGACTGAAAAGATCATCTACTTATTGTTTTCAAGGATAATAAGGGCAAGTATATCTCACACGCACACATACGTACATGCACACACAAACACGCACATGCGCACATGCACATACACACGCACACACGCACACACGCACACACGCACACACGCACACACGCACACACGCACACACGCACACACGCACACACGCACACACACACACACACACACACACACACACACACACACACACACACACACACACACACACACAAATATATATCTATGCCAGCAAATTATTGCATTAATCCCTTATATTGTTCTTAATGATGCTTAGAAGTAGATTAGGATTTTTTCTGAATATATTTATAAGTATATGTAAAATGGAATATACTTTGTGTATTTTTATCTGTTGAAGATGGATTGTTGTTATTTTTCTATGATAGGTCTATCATAAGCCAAATATTCTTTACGTTACCCTACAACACAAATAAATTCTATTTATGGGTTAACTTAAGGAAAATTAAAAGTATAAGGTGTATTTATGTTTTACACTGAAGTAAATGTAAAATTATTTCATTAATATATAGAATAAAAGGTTTGTGTGTGTTTTATTCATTCCCTTTGCTGTATGATAAGAAAGAAGTAGATATCTTGTGAATTTGATTTTGAAAGTATTTGCAGAATTGAGGGCTGGCCTGGGGGGAGAAGTGGAAGGGGTGAGAGCAAGACCTATTCTGAGGGTGAAAGTTGGATTAGATCTGCCTTACCTGAGCTAACTTGTATTAAAGCTAATCGAGAGAGAGAGAGGTCTGTTCTTGAAGAGGACTATGACCTTCGATCTCTAGAAAAGTCAGTATATAATGGAAGCCTTGCTGGAATATCTCAGAAGGTACAGGTGAGAAAGTTTTTAGAAGAGAGAGAGGAAAAAGGCAGATGAGGACCATCACACAGAAGTGAAAGTATGTCTGGTCAAGTTGAAGGATCAGGCAGCCTGTGTGAAAGACTGCCAGCATAAGGCAACAGTCTAAGAGTATAGGAAGGAGATTGTCTGGATACGATCTCACCAAAGTTTTGTCTGTCACTGGAGGAATAAAGAGAGACATAGGTATCCATCTTGGAAGTTGAGAGAGGATTAGTGCAGATCAAGCTATTTTAGACTGTGTTGTCTTTCAAAAGACAAGTATGGGTAGATTTCTTCATTCAAATAAAGTGCATGATTAGGTGACTCCTCTCTGCTCACAAGAAACGGATGGAAGGAGAAATGTACATCCCCTTGTGCATTGTTTCCTGTTCACATCAGAACAGATGCTGGGAGATGGCCTTTGCCTGCTTGCGTATTGGCCACACCCACCTTGTGCACTCCTATCTCTTTCAGTCCCACATATTCTATTATCCTGTCCACACTTAACTGCAGCCCGTACCTCTGCTTTCTCTCACTTGTCTTACCTTCCCTGACCTCCCAGTTTGTTAGACATCCTTAAGGAATTCCACAATTTTTCCTATGAATCCCGCAATTTTTCCTCAGATGCATACATATCCTTCACTTGATCTAGTTTCCTCTTTGCTTATTCCTAACCAATCTACTCATCCTCTCTACCTTTACAACTCTTTACCCTTTCCAATACCATCCTATTGCTGTACCACTGTAACATATAATCATTATCTCACCCCCCTCTTTACCCTTTTCGACACTATACCTTACTGTAGTGCTACATGACCTTTGGTATCTTGCACATTCATTTTGCTTTTTAACCATTAACCATCCTTGTTCACAGAAGAGGACAAATTATTAGTGTAACGGTGGCTCATGTGTCCAAAAAAAGGGTGCATATTGACTACTTCTCTTCCCACCATGAAATGGATGGAGAGGAGTTGAGTTCAGCTTCCTCTGGAAATCTGGGGAGGGTGCAGGATTATGAGGCTAGACGGCAAAGGCACCATTAACATGCTCCATACACAGATGAATCAGTTGGAGAATGATGGGGAGTTGGAGGAACTTGGTCTTAGGAAAATGAAAACGTCATTAAGCTAGTAAACAGAATGGCTGGACAGGAATAATTTTTTCAAATTCCTCTCTAATCCCTTGCTCGTTGTTGTTGTATGGGAGAGGGGGGGTTTAGGAAATGGAGACAAGCCCTTGTCTTTCTTCTCCCCTTTTCCTTTTTCTTCTCTTCTTCATCCCCTTCTTCTCTCCACTTCTTTAGGTGTGAGAGCCATGCTGAAAGGATGAAAGGTGGCTTTGTATCAGTCATGTATGGCCTCTGGGAACCATGGGCATGGCATTCCCTTGGTTAATAGCCTAACCCTTATGCCTCATGGGGACCCTGAGGGGGTAGACTGTTTCTTCTCCCCTTTTATTTCAGGCTCACCATGGCCAACAAGGAAGATTTTTTACCTTTACTAGGGACACTAAGGCTTGCCTCGTCATCAGCTAGCCTATCTAAATTTCACTGGTTTCCTGACCCCTGCCTTTCCTTTGACCACAGCTCTGACCACTGATACTAATACCCCTTCCGCGATGTTTGCTGTTAACTCTATCCATTCTGAATCATCCACCCAGGTCATTACTCAACCTTCAGAATACTCCCCTTCCTCTCTCCCAACATCTTCCACTCCATATCCTACTGCACAGTCTGCTACATTGTGTGCCCCCACCCGCCTTATTGCTACTCTTCCTTATTGTCTTCCTCCCAACAGTACTACCTCTCTCCATACCAGCCCATCCTCCTCCTGTCCTCGTCCTACAGCTTCCACCTCTGCAAACCTTTTGAGTACCCTTGCGATTCCTCCTATACTCTTACATTACCCTTCTCTTTTAACAATGTCTCCAAAAACAAGTAAAGTTCTCTTTTAATAATGTCTCCAAAAAAAAGTAAAGTTTCCTTTCGCAGTCGTTCCGATTGTTCACGCCTTGTCACAGTTACATCTAAGTCCCAAGCTCGTGCACGATCTACCTTGGCTGACTTCACTGGCAAATCTATTCCTGCCCAACCTTATTCCTCCCTTAATACTTGTACCGAAACTACTTCCGTTTCCCCGACTGATAGTCCTATATACGACAAGGACTAGCCAGACTGAAAATGACTTGCTCGCATGCCTTGTCGACTATGATGCGGTAGCAGTACGGTGCTACACTATTCCTCTCAGAGGCCAACGTAAGTCCTACACCAATATTGCCAAGATTAACCTTCATAGATATGACCTCCCCCATGAAGTTTATATTGGTGGATTGCCCTGCCGTGCTCGACCATATCGACCCCTTCCCCGTCAATGTCAGAAGTGTTGGCGTTTTGGCCACCCAACCAAATACTGTTGCTCCACTGTTGCCCGCTGCCCTCTATGTGCTCATCCTGGTCATGACCGTTCAAATTGCTCTGCTCAGTCACGCACGTGTGCCAATTATGGTGGCTCCCATAATGCATTTGTTTTTAGGAGCTGCACTGCCTACAAGTTCGAATTTGAGGTAGCAGTTCTCAGATTCAAACTA